TACTAGACAATAGAGAAAAAATTCACCGTTTTGTATAATACCAAGTTTGAAAGAGAATTAGTTTCGAAGATTATAGTAATTAAGTATCAGCTGTCGATGGTGGTAATGATTGATCAATTGCTGTTTGTGATCGTTGTACCCCTCGCCAAAAATAGAAAATCTTCTGGGTTATCGATTGTGCTGCATCAAAATTCAGCAACGCAAAAGCAAGTTTATTTTTTTCCGATTGATTTGGAATTAGATAGTGGATGAGTAAAAAACTCTCAGGTTGATAGGGAGAGGAGAAAAATGGAAAATAGTAACACTACAATCTTTTGGGCCACCCGTTAGAATACACATGACTAGAGTTGCCACATGGTTAGGTCAGAAAAACGAAATAAAAAGTCGAAAAAGTGGAAACACATTTTTCACCGTATTAGTTCATCGTTCACCTAACGCGAAGGGTATCAAACAATTTTTCTAGCGCTTTATGGTGGTTCCACTTAAGAAACACAAAAGAAGTACAAAACATCATTTAAATCCCAATTTGAATCGATATTGGCTTTTTGTGGATGAGCGCTTTTGATCAGCCGTCATAAATTTCAAGAGTTATGCATGGCAGGATAAAATTTAATTCGAAACGTTTCTGCCTACGACAGGACTTAATGATTAAGATTTTCTGCTCGAGCTGGCTTCTCTGAAGATTTAGTATTTCATTATTTTTCACACTTGCTTTCAGCAACACTTGAGACAAGCTAATGTTTTCCTATTACTGCTCACTTCCGGGATAAATTTCTGATTTAGTTCCTAAAACAGTGCGCATCTGTTTAATAAAAGTTGCAAAAGCATTGTTTTGACAAGTCATTTATCCGCCGAAGGCGACAAATTTTTTATGAGAAAATGTAAAACTTTTCATTGCAGGAAAAATGACAAAAACAAAAAGTCGTCAAAAAGCGGACAAATTGTGGATACTTCACAGAAAAAAGTACTGGAAGTACAAGACAAGAAAAAAGTTTTAGTTCTGTCCTACTCAGGGCCGCAAATACGAAGTCAACTTTGGGAGGCTATAAAAAATTTTTAAAACTTCACGCAGCGAAAAATATTTTTGGGGAGTGTAAGAAAATTTTTTTTGCTGCGCGGTCAAAAATAACGAAAAAAATTTTTTATTTTCTTGGGGTGTACACCCTCCTATTGTTCAAACGTTAACCCTAACAGAAATAATTCGAAAGAGAGTTTGGTAAATAAATAAACAACAACAAGCGGTTTCCCTAGAGAATGTTCAGTCTGTCTGGTCTCGAAAATAGAGTGGAGACTTATTTAATTACAGGTGTCTGTTTCCTGATTTTTTCTTGTTCTGGTCAGCTCCAAGGTCAGAGCAAGAAGGTCGTAAGACCAGATCAAGATAGTCTGTTTTTTCTACTGATCAGACAAACAGTAAATCTTGGTCTGATATTGACTTCTTTTATTTGGTTTTGGTAGAAACAGACACTGGTCAAGTTCAAGACCAGAGCTAGGTTTTTTTTCCACAATCACCGTTTTGTTTTGCTAAGTCATTCAGAGTTATACTCATAGGTGATGTCTTAGAGATTTCTGTGCTGAACAAGAGATATCTAACGACATTCCGAGTCTGATGGTTACACTGGAAACTCTCCAGAGGATGTTCAAAAAACTTTCTGAGTTTCTGCTGATTTTTGCGCAACATGGAAGATTAGCGAACAGCACACCTAATGTTTCCATATATACAACAAGCTCGCGATCTTGATTTCTCCCACTGATCAGCGTAAAATAGAGAAGTTACAAAGTATAAATAATTTTTCACTTGAGTAAAACTTAAGTTTTTTGGGGAAACAGCTCCTGCTTGTTTCTCTCTTTACCTTAGTGTTGTTGTTGTTATGAAAAGACAGTGTTTGTTTCTTGATGAAAAGAATAAAATTAAGTTGTTGTGATTTGAAATGAAGAAAGGTATCTGTTTTTTTAACTTTGTCGAGAAAAAGGTAAACATCTGATATTTGTCCGGCACGATAGGGCAGGAAGAAACTTTTTTTATAAGTCATTCTTTAGACAGGACAGGACCGCATAGGGCAAGGCGGCAGGCCAGGACGGGTCAAAAATAAGTGCCCGTGCACATCTGATAGAAAAGCTCTGTGAACGAGGATGGTTCTCTGATTATCGAAGGTTGATTCTTAGCGTAGTGTAGAGATCATTTCTCTTCGTTTTTTTGCAGTTTATCTGTTTTTAATCTCTTTTAAATTAAATTATTCCAGAAAAATGAAGTATTTTGCAGAGTACGTACACATCAATTTTCAAGAGATGGAGAGAATGAATCAAGAGAAATAAATCCTGCTTAGGGGGAAGTTAGGAACGGAGTTGAACTATTCTTCTTCAGTCAGATTGCAAAATGACATCGTTCTTCGTCACCTTTCCCAAATAATACATCAAGTCTAACGTATCTCCTTCCGTACATGCTCAGTCAAAGTGATTGTGTTAATGCTCGGCATAAAAATGCACCCAAAGACTGACGTCTTCACAAATGTAAGTGTCCGCGGTGGAAGATTGCTTTGTCGTCAGTAGCTTTCAGAATGTAGCAGAGATCAGTCTGGTTCTGTTTGATTCACAGTAGATTGGGTGCCAAGCTATACCGCCTCACTCATACAATGCTAGATTGGCTCTAACAAAGAATTGGTCGACAACCAATATCTACGGATAAACATTCTCTGACAGTCCAAGTGTGGATATTCAATGCTTCACAAATGGCAAACGTAACCGTATCGGTATAACTCACAAGTGAATGAACCAAAAGACGTCAGTCTTTATCACTTTTATTTTGAGATCAAACTGCAGTTAAATATTGATCTGAACAGAACTGAGAAATACAGCGAGGAAGAATTTAATTGATATGCGCAAGAAATACTTCTCAAAAGAAACTTGGTCAAAACTCTGATAGTTCAACATTGTGACTACCGAAAGTGGGACGTGTTTAGATAAGAGAACAGAGAGCCAATTTTCTCTGTACTTCCCCTGAATTTACGATCTGACTCTCTAGCCACGCTGACTTTTCCTTTTCACATAGAGATTATGACATGATAAACGTGTCGTCTGCTCGACGAAAGCATTAAAATTTGATTGCATCATGTTCTCGAAGAAAAGTTCGAGTAAAACATAATGAAATCAAACCTAGAAAACAAAACGGTGACTGAAAAAATGTGGCACTAGTGTGCTTCGGTGCCGAGCCAGTACAACATGGCATATCGTGCGCACTGATAGTGGTGATATTTTTCCAGCGTTGCACTGAAACTGTTTTTGTACGAAAGTCGATCAAGTTTCACGTAAGAAACTTGCAAGAATTTACAAGAATGTGATAAGACTTTTATAAAAATAATGTACGAATTCTGCCGATTCTTACCAATTTCTCATGAAAGTCTATGTGAATCTCACAAGCATATCACCGGAAAAAAAATAAAGTTGGTTTTGAGTTGCTGAAAAGTGCTTTTTTGCATTCAGCACACTCGATAACCCAAAAGATTTCAAAATTTTTCTAAACTTTTAGAAGTACCCCTCGTCAAAAATAGAAAATCTTCTGGGTTATCAAGTGTGCTGAATCCGAAAAAGCACTTTTTAGCAACTCAAAACCAACTTTATTTTTTTTTCCAGTAATATGATTCTTATAAGATTCAGCGGAATTCTTGTCACTTTCATGGAAGATCTTACATAAGAATTCAGTAAGGTTTTTATAAGATTCTTAGTAAGTGCTTCTAAGATACTTACATACCTGTTACAAGTTTCGTGTCTGATTCTTTTACAAGAACCGATGACTAGGAAAGTCTCGGTGTTTATAGGGTTTTTACGCAGTGTTTTGTTTATTGATTGAAGTAAAAAAATGAAGAACCACAGTAGACAGCCGCTTTGAAGGACATGTTCTAGAGACAAAGAACAGAAGAGAAATAACACGAAGTCAACGTTAAACAAAAAACAATATAGACGATTCCCATAAACAAGGACAATACAGAGCGCTATAGAAAGAAAGAAGTGTATGATTAACATTATCTCTCTCGGTCACCAAAGACTCATTCACTTGCATTTGTAGCTATCATACAGACTTCTGCGAGAGTGATTGATGTGGCAAAATATCATGCAGTGTTTCTATACACAAGTTCTCACTCACTTCCATAGAGAAGTACAGCATGAGAAACCCTGTGAGAAAAAAACAAAAGCTAATAAATATTTTCATAAAAATCTATCTTTGGACTGACATCATAGAAATAAGTATAAAACAAAACATAAATTCATTCGTGCACCGCTTACTCGGGATGCCAATGTTTGTTTCTGACAAATAAATCAACGAATAACTAATATACGTGTGTACATTCAAAAGAGTCATCACTCTTAACTTTTTTGTGTTTAACAAGCCTAGTTCACACACGTAATGTAGAATTTATGATTTCTTTGTGTTCTTTTGTTAGCGTATCAGGAAATTTAATGTCAAATCGAACAATGATGTCACCGCGTTTGGTAGGCGTTTTTGGATAGGGAAGTCCATCACTTGTTAGACGTTTTTCAGTTGTTGGTTTAATTATTTCATTTAACTGCAATCTTTTCACTCTTGACCCATCGAGTGTTGGTACAGTTATGGTTGTTCCACATAAAGCCTAGAACGAAGAAAACGAATGACATAAGTTTTTAAATTACGTTGCTCTAATAACAAACGAAACAAAATAATATGTGAAGCTCCCACTAACTACAAAACAGACTAAAAACTGGCAAACTTAAAAGTACTCCCTGGTCATCCCTTCTACCGAGAAACCGGAACAAAGAGATCTATCTGCTTTCTATTTATGGAGAAGTTTTATTAAAACGCCGATTTACTCACTGTGAACAAACAGAATCATAAGCGAGTTAATATAACGGCATTTGCTGTTAGAAGAAAGATCTTCTCAGATGTGAAAGTAGTTTTAGATTTCTATATTCCTTTTTCTGTAGATTGATTATAGAATATCTGCATAATTGTTTTCGTTTTTTACGAACTAAAAATAGAATACTTATCGAACATTACTTTTGTTGAATAACACGTGTAAAAGAGCAAAAAAATTGCATCCTTGGCTGAACACAGGTATCTCTTCGGTCGTTGTTCACTTAATCATCGTATTTTTTTATTAAACATCGCATCCCTTTTGTTTCTCTATTTAGAAGATATCGTACAGGTTATAACCGCATTACTACAGAGATATCAGTTACAACGAACGAGTTATGTAAAGAGAAAAGAACAGATTTAACTTCTTAAGACAACAGAATTAAAATAAAATACGCTAAAGGTCACTACGACATTAATATCAGAAAAAAAGTCGGCTGACAGTTCAATTGAATTTCAGACACTCGCAAAATGGAGAGGAATGATACCATTGTTGAATATTCAACAATCGAACTAAACCACTATAGATTTAGACATCAGAAAAATTGTTTGTTGAAACATAAACAACAATCTTCGAATTATGCAGAATTAAGGGAGCAAGCAGAGTTTCTGAAGCTTACATCACTGTGGCAGAAATTTAAAATGTTACTTCGCAGTCGAACAGCATTTTTTCAACATGGAGAAGAACGTAGTTAAATTAATACTAATGACAGTACTTACATCTTTTAAACTAATTTTGGCTGTATATAACAAATCGCTTCCTTCACGTTTAAATATGGGATGTACTTTATCTTTAATAATAAATACAATATCAGCTGGAATTGTCGATGAACTTTGATCACCTTCTCGAGGAAATGTGATTTTTGTTCCAGCTTTCCATCCTGGTTTAATGTCAATTGTTAATACTTTATCTTCTACACGAGTTGAACGATTGTCAGGATTTAGAACTTTTCTCGATATTTTCATTTTTTTTGTTGTTCCAGAATTAATTTCTTCTAATGATACTAATAACTCGTGTTCAACTGGTGGATCTTGTGATCTACGGTGCATATGTGACTGTCGTTGACCACCCATACCATCTCCACCAAACTGAAACGCTCCCATACCTCCTGGAAAACCTCCAAACCTTAAACGTTCAAAGGTAGTACAAATTAGTGAACACTTTAAAGAAACACAATGTAACCTACCCACTGGGTCCATCATCATCATCGCCACCAAAAAACATGGCAAACGGATCAGATCCATTGAAAAACATTCTGAATGTTTGATGTGGGTCAACATTTGAGTAAAAGAATTGTTGTCCTGGACCACCAGCGCCACCGCCACCACCACCTCCGGCTTTCAAACCTAAACAGAAATAGGATATCAATTAGTGATGAACGTTAATTGAAGAATATCTTATAATTATTTACCTTCCTCTCCATATTTGTCATATATTTCTTTCTTTTTTGGATCATTTAATATTTCATAAGCCTCTGCTACTTCTTTGAATTTTTCTTCGGCACCAGCCTCTTTGTTTTTGTCTGGATGATATTTGAGTGCTCTTAAAAATAAATAGGGATCTCAAGGATTTTTTGCTCAAAAATAACTGAAGATAAAAAAAAAATGAAAAATAGAAAATAAAATTGAATTTCTAATTAAAAAATTAAGTTTTCTCTAAAATTAAATAATTCATAATTATTAATTGTTATTTAGTAGAATGAATTTCAAATGAATACTATATATATTATTATTTTTGAGTTTAATGATGCTTTTCATATTTGATTGATTAATGAGTTTATGTTGTTTTTAATATTATTGTATTTTGTTTTGTATGATAGTATATACTATAGTTTAATTATGTACTTATTTATTCAAACTATTTTCTCGTTTTTGTTATTTTTCAAGTATCTATTAGGCTTTTTTAGTCTCTTTTTTTCTAACAATGGTTAAGTTAGATATAGCTCCTTTTCATTATTGAGTTGCTGCTATTAGTATTGAAATGACTCTTTTTATAATCTACTATGTTTTGGTCTTTCAAAAACTTGTCACTTTTTGACTTGTTTGATTACTATATTATCTGAAGCTTTTTTTATGTGTTTATTTTTATTTTTTTTAATATGGTTATTTCCTTAATAAGTTTATTTATGGTGGATGAATGGTAAATGTTGATGGTTTATTCTTCTATTATCAATACCGGTATGATTTTTGTTGGTATATCAACTGTAAACTATTGGTTTTTGTTACTTTTACTATTATTTATTCGTTTTCTAATTTTAAGTTTGATAAGTACGATTATATGATTGTTATTATGTTTATGGTGGTCCCCCCTTTTTTTTCTTCTTGTCTATAAGCTTTTGGTTGTTGATGGATCTTTTTAGTTTGAAATTGATCTTTTTTATGATATTCTTAGATGTTTTATTGTTAATTTATTACTATCGTTTTGTTTTTATTTATAGGTTTAGTTCTTTTAATAAATCTCTTTTTTCGTGAATTATTCTATAATTAGCAATTATAGTAAAAATAACTACTTTGTTTGTTTAAATGTAGAGACAATATAAAGATCTTACAGATCAAGAGGGGTATCCGCTGGTCTCGGTTATTATTTTCGAATCTTTTTCTTTTTACCGGTTTCAACTTAAACTATTTTTTGAGTATAAAAATATCAACGGGGTATAGTACGCCTGCATCCAAAAAGTGAAGTAGATGTCGTTATCTTCGAGAGATGGGGAGTGGGTGATTCAGCAAGCTATATTCATCTACAACAGTCCATTTCTCCCCTATAAATTTAATAAAAAAACACTTACAACTTTCTATATGCTTTTTTTATATCATCCTCAGTGGCACTCTTCGTAATTCCTACAAAGAAATAGCAAACTTAAATAAATAGATTCAAAATACTCGTTGATACAATAACTTACCAAGTATTTTGTAATAATCTTTTCCCATTGTTTTCAGAAACCCGAGCTACGTTTGTTGAACAAAATTTACATACAAAATAAGCTAATCTAGAGAAAAGATGCAAGAAACCTGCTCATTGGGAATCTGAATGAGTATGATAGATATAGAACATAGAAGCAAGAGTATATTGCAATGTTTTTGTTACATATGTCATTTTTTTATTTGTTCTCTTTCTTCTAAATATTTTAGATTTCATTTTGGTTTTTTATTATATAATCTATTGATGCGTTTCTCCCTCAGTGTACACACTATTTCCTTTCACAGTGACAATGAATAACATATGTATTCCTTACCAACAATATTTAGGTGCATACGCATAAATAGAAGAGATCTTTCTCTTCTTTTCTCCTTCGCTTGACAGATAAAAAAAATTTTCTCCGTTCTTTTTCGTGAAAACATTTTTTTTTATATTTTCGTGAATTTACTCGAAACGTCTCGACTCTTTGTAGTATAGAAAGAAAGAAAAACCATGCGAAGATGAATGAAGGAAGAGTGAATGAGTTTAATAAACGATGTATCTACAAAACAGGAAAACAAACAGGTATGTATCATCAAAATTGTACCTGTAAAGGTTATGGTTATTTTTACTGAAAACTGAACTGACGTCGATTGGTTAATCAAAAATGACTCATCTTGGTCGAAAAAACCCATACAATGAGGCAAAAAGAATGGAAAAATGGGACGAATGAAAAACTGGTATGAGGTGTAGCGAAAAAATTGTTTCAGAAAAACGGCTGAGATAAGCTAGGAGCAAACGCTGGAAGCAAAATCACTACAATCAGCGTCATTCTCATGGTTTTTCGCGTTGAGTGTGACGATTTACTCTCAGCGTTTTGCTCCTAGCTTATTTTAACCCATGCCAGAAAAATGCTGTATAATCAAAATAACTAATACTATCTTTTCTATCTTTATTCCAAATCTAACTTTATAACACAAAATCCAGAACTAGAACTAATCAAGGCTGGGAGAACCCAGAAAAGGATATTTAGAATGTACTCGACATATGTCATATGTCTCCAACAAAGTGCGACATCTATCAGCGAAAGAAGTGTCGTGTATAATCAGGGTTGCCAGATGTCTCTCATGTAAAGATCTGTCCCTCTCAAAAATCTATCAACCACGGTGTCCTGCTCTTCAAGGATGTCTTCTGCTGACCGTCCTCAATGGATTTTCCACGTTTGTATCAAGCTTCCGCGTACTTTTTTTAGTTGGCATTCCTGTGTGTAACAAGGATTATACTTACGTAAGGATTTGCAATGATACAACAGATTTATTTAGAATCCTTATGTAGCACTTCCCTGCCGGAAAAAAAATAAGCACAGCTCAATGGGAAGTTCTGCCTGTTGTTTATGTTGTTTATGTGGGATTGCTATAATCCGGATGCTGCTACCAGCATTGAGATTTGTCAAACATTGGTTGTAATTATATTCCACTGAATTTGTCCTCGAACATATTTCAATTCACTAACATTACTGTAAAGCTTAACACCAGAAAAGTGAGTGGCCATACCATCCATTTTTCTGTATTGTACATGAAGGAAAGTGGATGAATTTCCTTTGTTTATCACTCATCACTCGCTTTGGCAGATCAAAAGTGTTATTGTACTGGGCGATCGGTAATCCACTCTTATAGGTGACACTCTACAAAAATGAATTATCGGTCGCCCAGCACAATAACACTTTTGATCTGCTACAGCGAATGATGCGTGATAAACAAAGAAAATTCATCGACTTTCCTTGATGTACAATGCAGAAAAGTGGATGGTATGGCCACTCACTTTTCTGGTGTCAAGTTTTACAGTGATAAACTTGTTGACATTGAGTATTGGGATTTTCAATGACATATGTTGGATGTTCTGCATGAGCAATTATACAAGGTTCATAATATTGTTCAACTAATGTTGAACGTCCGGCTAAAACTTTTACCCATACTTAGTCATTGCTATTGTTGACGGGATCTTTGCGGTTTTAATTACACTATAATTTGGAATTAGTTTCCAATTGATAGAAAATCGATGTGGAAAATCGTGGGGCTTGTTCTGATATTTATAAAATGCTCGTAGATTTTCTGGCTTTTTAGAAATTAGTGATTTTCTATAAATTGACTTTTCCTTTTATTCAGAAAATCAGCATAGAAAAAACCAAAAATATGAAAATGCGGCATCGATTTTCTACATACTGGAAATTCGAGTTCGATTTTTTAATATTCTAGAAAATCGGTCGATTTTTGTATAAATAATTCCTAAGATTCTTGAAATTCGAAATTGTTTTTCCAGTTTTCTTGAAAATAGTTGGAATTCAAAGATGATACGGTATATGTGGACTAGTGATATTATGTGCAAGTCATAAGTTAATATTTTTGAGTGAATAAAATTAAGCAGAAATTCTACTAGGGATCTGATACTTGGAAACGGGCAAGCTAATTCCCGGAGTCCACGAAGCTCTTTCAACGAAGATTGTTGATCTAACACATCCATTTGAAGCTCACAGATGTTTATAGTCCATTACATTCTCCGCAGGCGTTTTGAATCTTCATCAGGTTTTAGTACTTACTTTTGCACTTAAGTGCACTTAAGTGCAAGAGTGAGCCCATTTATATATATAAGGAACACTGCTGGCATCGTAAAAATGAAAAATTTTGAAGTCCATCGTGGATATAACGTTTGATTGAACAGCTTCGATATTATCTGAACCTTATCGTAAGACCTGTAACATTCGTACAGCAGAGCTTGCGCTGCAAAGTACAGTAGATAAAAATAATAATAATTGAAAATGATATCTCACGAAAAGAGTTCACCAAGGTTTAATGCAGGTATCGAAAATCTGCCACGATTTTGCCTAATTAATTAAATCATCAGAATCAGTTACAAACCTTGATTAAGGTTTTGATCAAGTTTTTTCAAAGAAGATTCTGTAACAAAAATTGTCGACAATCTGAACTGTAAGGTGATCTCAAGATCTTGTCAGGTATCGATAAAGCTGCATAAGATCTTGAAAGAACCGAATAAAAACTTATGAAATCTTCAAGGTTTTTGCCGAGATCTGCAGTCAAGATTTTTTACGTGGGACTATAGAAAAAAAACGATTGACATTATCGTCGAAGAAGAGGCCGTTAACTTTTATTTCTTTTTATTAGAATCGACCCCGTGAAGCAATTCCAGGAATAGAAAATAAAATGGAGGCTACTTCCATTTAGGTCCGCCCAGTTTATACAGAGATAATAGCCGCAAATATTTCAAGACTCTTCTCGTGTAGAGCATAAAAGGTTACATAGCATCCCATATTTGTTCACTAAAAACGTCATATTCTACATGTCTTTTCAGAGATGTCAAGTTTCGACCTTCCTTCTAATAAAGCAATGTTGATCTTGCTTTTCTCTGCCACTTACACCCCTGTGGGACATACCACACGAAAGAGCACTTCGATTGGTACAAACGCTAATATTAAAAGCTTGTCCTAGTACTTTTAAAATGGCAGGCCAGCTCTCACAAAATGGCCGAAAATGAAAAAATGGCACCCACGTTTTTTGACAAATTCTATTGGTCAAGTTCAATTAGGATAAGCACGTTGCGCAAAATGTTCCCTGTAATGATTTTTTAAGCAATTTGACTCAATCAAGTAAACGATAGGTTAAATATAGCATTAGAACCTCTTCTCTTCGTTTTTAATATTAGTATTTATATCACATGAAGTGCTCTTTCGTGTGGTATGTCCCACAGGAGTATAAGCGGCAGAGAAAAACAAGATCAAAATTACTTTATAGAAGGAAGGTCGAAACTTGACATCCCTGAAAAGGCATGTAGAATATGACGTTTTTAGTGAACAAATATGGGATTCTATGTAACCTTTTATGCACTACACGGGAATAGTCTTGAAATATTTGCGGCTATTATCTCTGTATAAACTGGACGGATCTAAATGGAAGTATCCTGCAATTAGCATTCTTCCTCGTTTTTTGCTATTATGGGAGTCGAGTCCCCTAAGTAGAGCCAACAATAAAAACAAGAAAATAGGAGTAAGAAGTTTATTTTCTCTTTTATGTAATTGTAAAATTATCTGTTTTGTTTCAGGAATCTGGCGAGTCCAAAAATAGAAATCAATTTGAAGATTAATTGGCTGAAATATGTGTTTTTCATTTTAAATCAATATTTCAATTGAAAATATTTGTGTTTCTTTCTATTTTCTGTAGGTGAACTCATTTTGGTGTGTTTTGGAAAAATAAACTGTTTTCGTAAATAGCATAAAATAGCGTACTGTTTTGTAAAATAGTGACATCTCTCGGTCTGTGCTAGTGCGTATTTTTAACTGTTAACCGCACTATTATTTCATTTTATACCGTTATTTTCTATTTTTAGTAAAGATCTTCGAAATTCAAGCGTATTAAAATTATCTGTTTTCGCCATGATAACCCAGAAAATCAGTTCAGTTTAGTTTTTAGTAAAAAAAGACACAACCGTAAAACAGAAGAATAGGAAAGAAAGAAGCATACGCAGTACTGATTATAACTCTATTTGCTCACTTCGTCGAAAACTCAAAAGAAGAGAGTTCACTGCGGCATTTGAAAAGTCGTTCTATACACTGTCGCGAAATGTTACGGTAAAATGTATAGCATTGTCATACTTTTAACATGACACGGTTACACATTTACCATAACATTTCGGAACAGTGTAGTCATTTCCGCATTTTTGTCAACAGGACAGATTATGTGTTGTCTTAAGGATACACTATAAATAATAGAAGTATAGACGTAACTTAGCAACATAAACGAAAAGTATCCATTGATGGGAAAACCGTCGTACAGATATCGTTTAATCATGTACTGATCGATATTAGGTTACTACAAGATGGAAAACTATTTGGTAATCATCTCAAAAATGCAATTATTTATTGAAATTTCAACTATTTGCTGGATCAAAGAAAATAGGGACTTTGAATATAACATAAGCTGTTGCGTTGAGTTTTTCTATATAATTTTTGAGAAGTATTAGTTTTTTGCGGAACATATTCTTCTGATCCTATTGTTTTTTATAGAGATGAGTTGGGTTCGGTTTATCCCATATAAAAATTTGCGTTCTGGAAAATGCGTCCGAACGCTCTTTTTTCTAAATATTTACTCTTAAGTCATGCATAGGCATATACCAAGCTTTTCTACGCACGCTAAAGATTTAGACCACGGATATAATAAACCACCAAGCTTTTGTGATAGATATAACCAATTTTCTCTACTCCCTCTGAAACTAATGTTGGATTTTGTCCCACCTTGGTTTAACTTTAATCTTGAACCAGAACGAAATTAAGAATATAAATTCCCATAACGAAAATTAAAAATCCTCAAAGTTTGATCAGGCTTGGTGAATGAGCTGGAAAAAATGCATATCCACCAAACCTGACCAAGTGTTGAGGATAGATAAAAGATTGGACAAAATCCAACATTAGTTTCAGATAGAGTAGGGAAAATTGGTTATATCTATCACAAAAGCTTGGTGGCGTTTGGTGATTTTTCATATCTGGGGCCTGAAATCTTTAGCATAGGTAGAAAAGCTTGGTGCATGTCTACTCATGCAGGTCTGTAATGGCTTCAAATCTCCCTGTTAAGCACACTCAGCGATTGTAATGTTCAATATTATATATAAGTTTTAGCGATATTGCAGTATACTTGAATTCTAAAATAATTTTCCGATTTCGCCTTAGATTGTCAGGCCACTTCTACAAGACGGTCAAGATTCATTGGCCGAACGATATGTCGTTCGTGGACGTGATTCCGAGAAAAATTATATTTTAGCAAAGGTGTCGTTGTTTCATTGAAGTACAATGATCCGCTATTCTGTAAATATTCTTTGATTTAGATGGAGATGATCGATGTAGCGAATGTTATCACCGCATTCAATGAAGTATGTGTGCAGTTTTAATATTATAGCCATGAACTGTTTCTAATATTTATACTCTTGATTCTTCTGACTTAGTATATGTCATTGATGAAATTATCTTATGAAAGTATAGCATCGTATATTGATGTTTTCACAGCATGGGAACCTAAAGTAAAGAACTGTTCTTATGAATGATAAATATGATGTTTTTCTCACGTCGAATACTCTTAGATCAGTGCTTCGTTTGTGAATTTGGTTACTGAACATTTTTTAATGGGAAATTTAGATAATTACATAGAGAAATTACGTTCAGAACAAAAGACCATCGATAATTTGGTATGTTAACAAATTATCATTATGATTCAGTGTGAAAAAAATTTGTTTAAAAAACGTCCTCTCTCATTTTATTGTTTATTTTTTATTTCACTAGTTATTAGAAATTTGGTTTGCTCAAATTTTAGATGGTTTAATGTATTTATGGAACCAAAACATCGTTCATCGGTAAGTTTACTTATCTTCCTTAGCAAAATAAATTTTCTCTTTTTTGAAAATTTTAGTAATTTGAAACCAGAGAGCATCTTCCTTCGCGGTGAAGATAATGAACAAAATTGTTCAATTGTCATTGGGGATATGGTACCGTTATCAGTTGCATATGATCTAAGAATTAGACCTCGTTTACCCAGACGTACATATTAGTTCTTTAACAGCTTTTAATAGCTTGTAGATTATACCATACGGCTTGTCCACCTAACGGTCTCTTTCGTTTCAGGAGTTTGCGTGAAATTGTTTTCGCTATTAGTTTTGCGACACACATCATTAAACACACTTTTTCGAACGCATCGATCATTAAACGCACTCAAAAATTGAAAATCTCAACTTTAAAGTGATTTTTGAACTTCAAAATCCACTTTAAAATTAAAGTTTTCAAATTTTGAGATCGGATTCGGAATGAGAATGTATCAAAATCTTCATTCATATGAGAGAGTTTCTTCAGTTTAGTGGAATCCATCTGCAAAAATGGACGCCTTTGAGAGCTCGGAGGTCTTTTTCAAATAAAAGTCAAAAATCGGGAAAAGAGTTTGTACCCTTAATTCGAGTGAGGTTCATCAGCATTTCGTCCGATCAACCGATCGTATCACGTGAAATTTCACCGGGTGAAGCTTCGCAATGGGTAGTAATCACCGCATGAAGGAATTACGAAAAAAGATGAAATTCCGTTCCGGACGTAGTTTTGCTCTTTTTTCCGATCCAGACATCCTCAGACAAAACCAATTAGATATTCTGAAAACCTGAAGAAAATTCTACAAGTTTCATACAAACAAGATCTTCCTGTGATGCCTAATTTTAGAGAAATTATCAGAGTTCTAAAAGCTCCAAAAAAACCCATCCATTTTTGGAAATTCCGTTACGGCCTTCATTTTGCCTATAACTTTTGATCAAGTGAATGAAATCAACTCAAAATTTTCTTTGTAGCAGGACCAGACGGGATACACATTTGATAAAAATTTCACTTTTATCTATTCCGTGCTTACCGAGATAGAGGGCGCACAAGTTAGAAAAATGAAATTCCGTTACATTTGGACAGGCCGTATAGTATTTAGTTGGGATACATATGCTTTTTAAATAGGTATTAAAAGCGATGAGCAATATTGTAATGAGTGTCACAGTAAGTAAAATAAAATAGTTCTTCATTCATTTTGCCAATATATGTTGTTTTATTACCATCGATATGAAATAAAATTACTATTATCAGCAACTAATGAATCTAATACACCTTTATGCACTGCGTTAAATTCTACAGTACAAATATCAAAGCATTGGTTCATGCGTCGTTTTCTAGCTTTGTTTTGGAAAATTATGCTTTTTCATTTCGTTATGCATTTTTTTTTAGTAACAGTGAATAACTGTGTACAATAATATTCGAGGTACGGCAGCTTTCGATGCTTGCTATTTCAACAAGAAACTCTCCATAATAACACCATTTTTTTAGACATTAGCTGCCACGGACAGTACGTTATAATACAACCATGTTTCAAAAGCATGTTTTGTACTCATCTTTCTGTTTTACACAAAACGTTTTTTCATCATAAACTTGAAAAAATTAATTCACTGCGAAGCATCCAAACATCCCGAATACACTTTAGACGATCAATAACCAATAGTTCTGCATCTATTAAAAAGATTAGGCTTTGATTAGTTATCGTTCTTTCGATGCAAACGAGAGAATATTTATACATTTTACTGTAACTTCCGCTGAGGTCTCATCTTTAGATCTAAAGAGGCTACACTAATAAGCTTTTATTCTTGAAGTACATATGTTGAAATGAAACAATTTTATAGGTGCATTATCCTACACTGCTGCCGAAATATTCGATTGTAAACCATATACGCCATTATCCGATACATACTCATTGGGTGCTATTTTATTGGATGTGTTATTAACCGATTGTTTAACGGCACGTTTATTTTTAACGATATAATGTTAAACTCTTTCTCCCTCAAGGTCAAATTTTGTTATTGGGTGACTATAAGTAAATTATCAGTAGTCACCGTGTATGTGTACCTGTATATCTCGCTGTCCTCTTGATGAAACGGAGTAAGAATGTATTGGTATATGAGAAAGTAACTAGATACGCTTGTCTCAGACTTCGCTGTCTTTCTCAGCTCTCCCTTCCCATCTAGCAGATGAACAGGGAGTTTCAGTATGTAGCATGTATATGCCATGCATAGCCGGACAGAGAAATCACAGCGAAGGAGAATTTGACGTACTATGATTTTGAATTCAGCAACTCTTCATTCCTCTTCATTTATTTCCTTTTATTCAGGCAGAAGATACGCTACAATTACGTATTTGTGCTCGATATGATCATAATATATTGACAAAAACAATTGAAAATCTGAGTAAGGTATGTGAAAACATATACACACAAGCAAGACAATGATCAATGAATTTTTTTTCATTGCTTTCAGGATAATCATGAGATATCGTCACTGATTAACCGAATGATGAATCCTATACCCGATGAACGTATTGGACGAGAGTATGTATACGCTCTAACTTCCACTAGCATACTCTCTATAGACAATATGAAAATTTTCTTTTTCTTGTACACAGTCACTAAAACAAATTTGAGATTCATTAAATTTTTGTTGATGATTTGTATTTGTTGAAAAAAATGATATTCTGGATGGTCTTGCAAAATCACTAGTGCCTGATAAATCATCAGGACTAACAGCACTTGCATTCTGTTGCTGGTATTGTTCTCTCTTTGCTAAATAAATATTTTTTTGATATAATTGATTCCAATTATATTGATGCCTTATTAAATTTGTTACTGTATCAGTCGTACCTACTAGAGGTTGACGAATCAATGGTGATACAATCGTTGCTATTCCTCGTCGGGGTCTCTTACTGATTCTCAGGCTCACTTCTCTTTGGTTTGGTATTTCATGATGAACGTTATACAATAGAAGTAATCTTTGAGAATGTTTATAAGTTTGTTTTAACGAATTTTGGTAACGTTGAAAAGCGTAAAATAAAAACATAAAATTGCTTAACGTACTAGCAATTATTGTCCATTGACGGTAATCAGAATTAACAAAAGACATTTTTGATTATTAGACAAAAAAAACTAAAACAATATGCATAACATACCCGAATAAATGATTCGACAAACTTTGAACACTACGTTGCCGCCACTCCTATCATTTGGCTCAAAAAGTGTGTGTCAGTCAAGAATATACGAGATTTGATTCATCAGCACCATTATCACATATTGCAAACGTTGGTAATTGTATGGGTCGTCTTTACAGTTTTTTAGGGCATGATCGATGTTTGCGTTGTCCGCCTGCTGGGCGCATTATTGCTTGTATTCAAAGTTTAGATTTGTGGAGTCGAAGTTTCAATGTGCCGCTAACCAAGTATAAATTAATCCATGCTCACTTTGCTCCAAACAGCTTTAATGGTCATAGGAACCTCCGGATATTTTATCGTCTGATTTTTCCTAAAGATGACTCCGAGCACTTCATGAATGCGACTGACATATGCTGCTATGTGTTCCATACTCACGAAGAAATGTATCGGAATCAATGTGGTTAGCAGCAGCCATAAGATCACTCGACCATTAGAACTGTGATATTTGCGTCAGATACACTAAATACAGGTAGAAATATATAGTGATGATTGTATATTGTGGTAAAAGTGGTGATGATGTTATTGTAGTAATGGTAATATACGAAGTACAAGTAGAAACAATTGATATTTAGTAATGGCTTTATCTTTAAAAGCTTGATGGTTGTTATACAGGTTGATTTTTAGTTTGAGCCACTTGATTGACGATATGTGATTAAATCGAAATAAAGCACTAAAGTAAAAAATGGTTGATTCGTTAGTATTTGACATAAATATCAGTCACTAATCGAGTATTTGTGGTAAATTGATGTGCTCTAACCATGAATGATCAATCTTGAACTCAAATTGAAACTTTTATTACATACGTAGGAGTAGCAATTGTAGCATGAAGAAAGTGAAATCTGTTGGAGACTTGTTAGTGAAGCTAGTAGATTGTTTACAAAACGGATTGAGAAAATTAAAAAAAATATAGAAAAACATATCAGATCACATCTCGGAAAAACAAGTTTTCTGGTAGATTAGATTAAAAACCTACACGACCTTTCCATATATCCCACGAGTTGAATAATAGAATCTAAAGTTACACTTTTTTTATTTCAATACGCTTATCCAATAAAAATCTAATTTTATGCTTTAGAGATTTTTCTCAAAACGAATTTATTGTAAAATGTATGAGACAAATTGATTCTCATATGATGGAGTATACAGCGTCTATTATTCATGAGAACGAAAAAGTAGATGGTAGGTGTATGTTAGTTTTAGATCTATTAATTAATCTTTAACTATATATATTTTCATTATTAGAATTAATGTCTAATGAACAAACTGAATATTATTTAGAATATCTAAAACTAAATCAAAATGATGGGAGTCGTGTTCAACAATGTTTATTAATATTTTGTGAATCATATGCTGCAAGTGTGACTAAAATACGACGACTAAGAGTTATAATTTTCATAATATAGTTTTTGTAGATCAATACATTGGTGCTTGCCACATATTATTTAAATGATATTGTACCACTCATTGAACATTTTCAAACCAAGGGTAAAATTGCTTTCTATGGTTTAGAATTATTAGAGAAAATATTGACAAGTGATCATAGAGAATATATTCTTAAACCAAATTTAATAGTATTTATTAAAAAAATGATACCGGTAAGATGTAAAGATGATGTGTTTAGATTAATCAGTGTTATAAAGTATTTATATTCTAAAAGTTGTTTGAGAACGATTTAATGATTATTATGAAATTAACAACAGTTCTAAAGGAAATTTTTTCATTCAAAAGTAAGCGTAGAGGCTATGGTAAATTTATCATTACAAATTGTTTGTTATGTTTAGCAACAACATTTGAAGAAACAAATATTGTTCTCGATATAGCACGAATTTTAAATAAATACGATACTAATGTGACAATTAGTTCAAACTGTTGTACAATATTTTGGCATATGATAAATGAACGTAAGTAATTAAATTATAGACAAATGAATCATATTTACAAAAAATATTTATGTCTAGCATCATCACTACGTGATTTATATCAAAATAAAGTATCTGTCTTAAATTCATTATTAAATTTATCATTAAAATTAGACAATAATGTTGATATATTTACGAAAATATGTTTTGCTTTTATGCCATTATTATTTCAAAAATCGATTATTGATTATTTGGCACAATATAATCTTGTTCGATATTTTACCATTGGTCTTCAAAAACATTCGAAAAATAGACAAGCTGTTAAATCAGGTGTGTGTGTCTCTTTGAAATGTATATTGTTTTTTTCGTTATAAAATTTGTATTCTAGCCCTTGTCGTCTTATCCGAATTATTCAAATTCGATGGTAAATGAAATTTAAACTTGAAACTAAAACCCATAGTTTTGTTAATAATATTTTAGAACGGTGTGTAATGCGATATTTATGCAGTCGTTTGTCAGATGAAACATTGTTAGATAGGTAAAATGTTATTCATGTTAGTATTGGTCATACTATCAACGTGTTCTGTTACAGTATGAAAGTGTTAAATAACATATTTGATTATCATGAAAATCATCCTGATGTTGTTTATGCTATAATAACCTTGTTAAAATCCATGATACAATATGGTGAGTACAAAATGAAAATTGAACAATAGACTTTTTAGCTTTTTTCTATTTGTTTTTTTTTCAAACTTTAGATGATGCTATAGATGAAATGGTATCAACAAGTATTGATAATACACTGATATTTAAAATAAAACGTTTTCATAATGATGATAGGGTAAGATAAAAAGAGTATAGAAAACAGGAATTCTAATTTTTTTTGCTGTTGTTGTAGGAGATAATGCGAACATGTGATGAAATGTTGCACTCAATTAAAAACAGACGTTTACTTCAAAAACGAAAGCAAAATTTCCAAAAATGACTGCTGGTTCTTATTTGTTACAGAATTCCCGAATATAACTTAAAAGCTCTTTATTAATGCATGTTTGAGATTTGTTCATCATTTCACATATTTTTTCTGTGGAAATGGTGTATTTCAACTGAGAATTCAATATTTTAGTGCATCAGTTGTAGAGAGTATGGCCTCAGTGATTTAGGTGACTAAGATTTGAGAGATGGAAATGGATCAGTTTCTGAAATCTAAAGATTAGAAGAGCACATGTTCAAGTATCCATACTTCATACTAAAAAAATGAATAAATTTCATACTAAACCACAATGAATATATCACACGAACACTTTCAGTTGATGAATACTTTATTAAACTTCGTTTCTCGGTTCTCTACTACCAATTTTAATAAAATATAGTTCAAAAAATTCATTTTTGAATAACATAGAAAAGAAAAGAGACAGAGATATCTGGTCTTCGCCATTCGATAGCCAACACCCGAGTACGTAGTTCTATAGGAAAAAATTTAAAATTATTTGCAAAAAACTGGTTATAGTTGTTTGATTGAACGAGATAAGGACAGAACAAAAACAAGCAAAACACAAAAGAACACTACACAGTTGTTGGAATCGAACACTCGAACTTTGAATTGAAAATGCAAAGAATTTACTTTTGGATTTATGAAGAATTTTGAAGCCCAGATTAGCACCTCGAAAGTTATCATATAAAGTTGTCATACTTTCGCTTTCTTTTATGGATAGACTTTTGCTGTAGTTTTTTCTGAATGTTGAAGTGCGCTTAAAATTCTTCTTCTATCACAGAGCGGAATAGTTCCAATTCGAAGTTAAGCTTTCGAAACGGGATTTATTGAAGAGTTTAAAAGTAGCCGACATATCCTCAATAACGTTTCAGCCATTTCAAGCTCAACGGGTTAACATCATATTGATTGAAATAGTTATAAATTCTTCACTGGTAGAATTACAGTTGAACTTAGGTCAAGTTGTTCACCTCTTTGCTTTCGAACTATAAAAGTCGACTACTGCACGATAAGTAAGTTGGCTGTTCATTCATAGATTATCGAGTTGCAGTAGCTAAGTCACTTGACAAAAAATAAAGAACTGATATTATGAATAATGTATCATTGGTAAGCTTAAGTCGACTGACAACGACTCCTCTGCAAAATATGATATTATCATCATTACTACTAATTTAGCTCATAATGTATGTAAGTCATTTTAACCTAGAGGCTTACTTACAGTAAGTAGAAATATGACGGTTTTTTTTTATAAACAGTTTTCTAATCTAGAAATCATTTGCTAGTAAGATATACCTGAACGAATGCGGTGATTCTTAATTCAAGAAAGTTAGCAGTTGTTTTTGTTACGGATAAAACTTCATATCGTTCGGTTTTTATTTATTTTAAACGTTCGCAAAAACTTCTCGATTGTGACTAGTTACGGTAACGACTATTTTCAGAATGCCAGAAACAGCGAAAAAAGTAGCGATGTTAAAGTGGACGTATGTAGACTAGAGATGAGCAGGGCGCCCTTACCTTACCCTGTAGGGTAGGGCGAGGGCTCTAATATCACTTGAAGTTACAGGGTAGTGCTTGGGCTTTGTATGATTAATCTCGATGAATTATACCGTAGGGTAGGGCCAGGGCTCTGGTGTCACAGGGTAGGGGGAGGGTAGGATAGGGCCAGTGCTCTAGAAACAGCTACCCTATACATCTCTGGTGTGAACGCATATAGAAAGAGAGCGAAGTGCGTGAACACGTCAATCATTCTACAATAGAGTTCAGATTGCGTGCACGATTCGGATTGATTGACTTTCATTAAAAAATTTTTAGCAGGAGTTTTATTAAAATTTAGTGACGGCATAAGAATTTTATCTAATATATATTTCATTAAAAACCTTAATGAACTTCCTTTTAATGAAACTCCGATATCCCCACGGTTCGATTATACATGTGTGTGAGTGGACTTTCTTTCTCCTATGGGAAAATAGATGATGGTGATAAAGCGTTCCGTTATTCATGATAATCCATTACATTGAGACAAAGTTTTGTAGACGGTACGATTGACTACATCGCTTCTCCGAAGCTTTATTTGATGATTAGTGAACTTCAGTCAGATTTGATCGATGTTTATTTCTATTCAGAGATAGATGCACAAAATAAAACTGATGACTGTTTCGAAAAGATTCACAGAGAAAATAATTTGCGATAAAAAAATTACAGGAATAGTTTATCGTTAGAAACAAAGAAGCGAAATTAGAAAAATACTGTTAATGCGTAAAATCTATCCCCAACAACAGAAAAAGTGGTAAAAAATTGAAAACCTCGCCAAAATAATTACCTCATGAGAGAAGGTCCCCAAATGATCCATCACTTTTACCCTGAAACCTTGTAGAATATAAATACCACTTTCGTGTTATGTGTCATTACGCATGAAAGGCAAGGGGATGTGGTCGAGGCCGTAGAAAAGTTGCATTTTTCGTTATTTTAATGACCTTTTTACATTTTTATTTGAACAGAATAACAACAGCAGCGAAAATAAGAGCAATAAATTGAGTGACTCGTTTCCATTTCTTTTGCAAACTTCATGTATGCTGAGTCGTATAATTTATTTCGTTCAACTTATCTTTACTTTTCCTTTTCGACTAAAATAGCTAGAAGAAATCTAATTAGATTCGAATAGCTAAAAGAGTTTTAATTAGAAGCGATGTGTATAAAGGTTTTATCAACATTTCTGGAATCAGAATCTCTAGAAAATCAGAATCATAGAAAACCACATCTTCCAGTTCGATCTAGAAATATCTTGCATACAGTTTTATTGTATAGAGCCAACTTTTCTAAACAAAAATAAGCTGTTTATGAATAGTCTATGACATTTTTTCGTCAAGCTGCATTCAATCTACAAACGGTCTCGAAGCCATATTTTTTATGTTCTTTGTTAATTTTGCTGATTTTGACGGTCATTTGTAGGTTGAATGCAGCTTGATGAAAAAACGTCATTATTCAAAAATGTTGACTCTATACGATGAAACTTTTTGCAAGATGTTTCTCGATCGAACTGGAGGACTTGATTTTCTGGAGAGTCTGATCCTAGAAATGTTGATAAAACCTGTATGCACACCGCTTCTAATTGAAAACTAAGACTATGAATTGTCGCGTGTTTTGCTATGCAAAATGATATAAAGACAGTTTAAAAAAGAAATCGAAATACGCCACTTAGCTAGTTCTTGTCATACTTGCAGTAAAGTTTCTAAACCCCTTAAAAGAGCGTAATGAGCAAGAATTAAGAAGAAAATTAATTGCGAGTAAAAAAAGAGAAGATTGACGTTTTTCTAACTTGTAACGCACGATCGAGAAAACTTAGACGTAAAGGTCGACACGAAACCCTCCACAAGGAACCTTTTATGAACGGAAAACTATAGAGGATCCATACTAAACCCCTTCTGCACGGAACCTTGAAATAGCAACTGTTGCAAAATTCGGAACCTTCCTTAGATTTCGTAAAAAACTATGTTCTTTTTTTAGAGCGTTTGATTATCCGTAATTTTTTATGCTGATCCCGAATCTGATACTCATCTGTGCTGATAGAAGTTTCTGTTTTGGATCTATGGAAGTCCAGTATCTGGAGATCTGTCCTAAAATCCATGATAAAGAGATTCTGACCTGTGCATATCGTAGGGCATGTCGAATCACTTATAAGAAAATGTTTTCCGACTTGCCAAGTAGATTTTGACTGAGGTGTAAGGTTTCTATGAACTAAAATATGGAACTCTTTCAAGTTCTCATAGAAGCGTTAGTAAAGCGATAGATCACTTGGGGGCCTTCCCGCGTCAGAATTCTGAGCAGAATTTAACATTATTTAATCCTTGTATTGTTAAGTCACACCAGTATCATAAATAATCATAATCACCGCGTTGTATCATCAATTAGGCAGAGGCTGTAAACTGTAAGGATGAGATAGTATAATCTATTCAACGTACCTTTTCATTGACTGATTTTTCACTTCTTGGATCTGAATTATTTACAGTTTCTTTTCATGCGAGTAATTTCAATAAGAGAAAAATCGATTCAGTTTCTAGCGAGTGTATACTGATTACCTAAACATGGGAGTCTAGAGGTTTTCGAATATGTTAAACCTATTGGTGATGTTAGTTTTCTTTGATTTTTGACCTTCATAATGTGATTCTTGACAAGTTTTGAGAGCATCTTTATTAAAAATTCAGTGATAAATAAAATTCTCTTTGAATATACTCATTGGATAGAGCAAATTTTTCTCCATGTAGGTTTGATTGAAGAATTATTTTGTTTCGAAGGCTTTCTAGAAGATCTTTAATGGAAAACCAAAGTTTTTGAGAGATTTTTTCTCTTAGGTTTTCTAATATGTTGCTAGCAAACCTTTGGAAAACCATCGATAGAAAAAATAGAATTTAATCGAAAAATTAATCTTTTGCATATCTGATAGAAAAAACAATCATTTTATCACAAATCTAGTCAAACTCGAACATTCTATCACGTCACCATTGCTGATGGTGCTGATTTTTTCAACATAACTTTTTATCGTTACATTTCAAATGTCTAAACTACATGGAAACATAGGTTATCGACTACGCTGATTATAGTGGTAATATTTCTGTAAGCATAATTCTTCACATTCTATCGGATATTGCTTGTATAACTTTGGGTTGATTCCAGTGGAACATCACTTCTTTAGATCTAGCGTTAGTTGAACTTGTAAAACGAAACAAATGTTTGTGATAAAATGATTGTTGATTAAGTTCTGTTTTTTTCTATCAATGGTTTTCCAAAGGTTTGCTAGAAACATAGTAGAAACCTTTTAGTAATCGGATCTGACTTGGGCAACATTATAAGTTTAAAGTACATGGTTTAACAAGTTCAAAGCAGACATCAAAGAAAATTTAACTTACCATCTTAGTTACTAGAGAAAATCTCTCAAAAACTTCTAGAGAAAGCCTTCGAAACAAAATAATTCTTCAATCAAACCTACATTTTTAGATGGAGAAAAATTTGCTCTATCCAATGAGCATATTCAAAGAGAATTTTATTTATCACTGAATTTTTAATAAAGATGCTCTCAAAACTTGTCAAGAATCACATTATGAAGGTCAAAAATCAAAGAAAACTAACATCACCAATAGGTTTAACATATTCGAAAACCTCTAGGCTCCCATGTTTAGGTAATCGGCATACACTCGCTAGAAACTGAATCGATCCGAGGTTCGTGCCACTGGCGTCTTTTTATGCTGCTTTTCTGTTATTTGGAAATTTTCTCATTTGTTTTTTAAACGTTCCCATTTGTCCGTTTTCTGTAATTCTACATTATTTTCAGTTATTTATCATGCACTAGCTGATTATGTTCAACATTTTTTGTTAATCTCTGTAAATTATTTTCAAGGTTAGTCTCTCGTTTGTTCACCTGTTTCTCATGCCCGATTTATTTTCAATTGTTTTTCATATCAATAACATAGTACTCTAGTTTCTGCTCGGAGAAACTCAAATGATTGATTATAATATTGCGTTAGTGTCCTTCTTTCAATATTATACAATCTTCTTAATTCATATATCAATAAATCTATGATTTGTGTTGATGTTTTTATTATAATTACTTCAATTTTGTATCGAAATTAATTTTAAATTCTTCTTTAATATCGTCCAATTATCGGCTAACTCGAGACTCCTTTATTCAAAATTCTTTCGATATTGTACGTTCAAAATCATTACTCAATTGCTATAAACAAACTATTTTGTTATTCTGAGAATTTTTAGAAATTTAAAAATAATTTTGAGATTCGGAATATTAATTTACTATTAAGGCTCTAGTGCATAAACTATTTCTTCAAGATTTAAATTTTGTGTTTATCTTTCAAGGGAATAGATTTTACATGACGAAGTGAAATCACAACTTTCTTCGATGCTTGTTAAGCCAACTAACATCGGTCTTGTTCATATGAACTCTGCGTCCAGCTAGCCTTCTGTTCAAAGTTGTGGTTGATGACTAGGAACGAGATGGGTGACCATTTCAGAAGCTTGCCAGCTACAGGAAAGATATCGAACTATTAAAAATGCCATTCGACAGCACTCTACACCGGTAACGGTAGCCGCAAGACGGAGTGGTCTGTATTGTTCATATTTTTCATTGAGATTATTTAAAATTGTTTCGTGTTCATCCGCTTTTGTATTCTAAAATAGATGACTTTAAAAAAATAGTCGAATTAGTCCGATTGATTACAGGTATTCGCTAAAGCCTGTTTAATCTGTTAAAATAGTTCTACACACCATGGATGAAAACAAATTAAAATTTTGCTTAGTTTGTATGGTCAAGCACTATATATAGAAATCTATGATCAAAATCCAAGTTTAAAGTGCGCGCCATTTGTATCTCGGAGATTCATCAAAAAAATGTGACTGGCTGTGTGCGACACATAGTGGAACACACCAGGTATAAATTTGTTTATTGTTCTGATTAATTTTTGTCATGCAAAATACAATATCTCATCAATTTTTTTCGAACTTGATAATTTTTTTCTTATAGAATTTCTATACTATAGGATACATCTATCAAATAGGAATGATTGTCAAACTTTTTGCCAAAATCGGACTAGTAGAGAAAAGGTCATAATTATTCACTCTTGCAGTATTCTATGCATATTTACAATTGAATCATATACGATAACATGTTTGTAAAAAAATTTACATTTTTTTTTTCTTCTCTTCTATCATTTATTCGTCTCTATTCTTTTTTTATTCTTAACACATCAATATGCATCTATGTACAAATGAGAGAAAAATGATGATGATGAAAATATTCATATACATTGAAAAACAACAGAGTGAATATCTATGGTATGCTATACTTAGAGAGATCGATAATTATAATAATAACAATGATGATAATATAAGAAATGTAAAGTCTTTTTACCATACCTTTTTCTCCTACAGAGGTAGGCCAGTGTCATTCATACCGAAATACGTATACACTGATCAATACTATCTTATTTTGATAATATTCTGAAGTTCATGATACGTTAGAACTAGAGGTAGAACAGTTCCAGTTCAGCCCTTTTGAACGGGAACTGGTAACAGTTCGCGTTCAAAAAGAATACGAACTGATACCAGTTCTTTTCAAAAAATTAAAATCGAAATAAAACCGATGAACCTGCTTACATTGACTTTGTGTAGTGCGCCAGAGATAGATGGTGTGTTTAGTTCACTAAACCAAGTCAATATAACTAGCTACATCGGTTTTATTTTATTTTGAATTCTTAAAATAGGAACTGGAACTGTCCCACTCCTAGTTAGAACGGTTGTTGATTAAATCGAATGTTATTTGCTATACAAATAAAAAATAATGTCGTCAGAATGGCGTTTCTATCTGAGCAAGTGACGTCAAATGATCCCTCTCTTGTTAATTCTTCACACATTTTTTACTTAGTTTACAGCATTTTGTTCTTGGTCTTAAAATAGACAATTACTGTTTAATATGCACTATTCAGTTGATCATGATGTCCTTTCTTCCTACGTAAAAATAAAAAGTACTGACACACTAAAAGTAGATAAATTAGTCAGCTGCCAATTCTACTTCTTGTGGATATGTAACACCTGCAAAAAAAAAGATTCACTTCTTTCTCTTTCTTTTCATGATATGTTATAGTAAGACATCGTCTCTAACCTGATTGTCTGACACCAGGATAATCCATCAAATGTTACAGTAAGATTATTTGACAAAAACTGTCATGTATTACACAAACTGTGTGAATAACCAAGTATGCGTTTAAACCTTCGTGTATCGATTAATACAATAACAAGATAATTTTTCATTTTTGTACTTATATCTACATTCTGTCAAAATTATGTTTTTACAGAGAAAAACAGATATCTAATGAATGCTTTCATTAATCTGCGGCAAACTAAATTGCTCAATGGGTAACAAAAATTATCGATCTTGTAGAAGTATTAATGTCAAATATCTGTATAGATATATAGATAACGAACGTGTTTTTTGTTCTCTTTTTCCCTTCAGTTTTCCTCTTTTGTCGGGTACAATAATTTGTTTTCTAATATATATATATATATATATTATATATACAATATATTAGAGAATATTTGTCCATTATTTTTTTCCTTCTTCATATACGTTCATATATCATTACATTACGAATAAAGAAAAAAACGCGCAAATGAAAATTTGAGACAAAACCGCATAGTATACATATACATGTATAGCAAACGTGCGAAAATGCACTTTATACACACTACACAAGGTTTCTCCTGTATGTATCTACATCTTCTCTTTATTAAACAATATGTTTTACTCGTCATCGAAAAACGTGCAACGCATCGCATGAAAGTTGGTTGATGTATTATAATTTGTGACATATTTTGTCGTTGAATGATTGAATGAATAAAAAAAAAGAAAAATAATCATCTGTGCTCAAATAAAATCCACAAATGAATAATGTATTACTAAAGGGTATGTTATAAAAGAAGGGAAGGACAAACGAACGAATAAAAAAAATGCCGAACAACAAGTAGTTAAAGATATTTTCACCTTAAAAGTTTATTATGGTTAAAGACAATATATTGTACGTATGTAAAATGTGCAGAAAAACTTTTTTGTTGTTGTTACACGTTTATAGACTTTATGCATCATTCAGATATGCTAAATTAAAATTGATTTTTATTCTTGAAAATGATTAGATATAAAGTACAGATAATAAATTATTTTTTTTTTATTTTTTTCATAAGAACTTGATTTTTCTGTCGTATGTATCTTGATTTGGTCTCTTTCGTATTCATTAAAATTATTATACACATAGATACCATTGAACATATTTATTTTTTTTTTATAAATCTTCTATTGTTACTACTTCTACTACTACTACTATTAGATGAAATGTATAAGAGATTTGAATATCAAGTATGATGAGAATCAAATAACCTATATATATATATATATATATGTGTTTTTTCATCGTTGACTTTTATGTCTTTCTTTCTTTTTCTTACTCTTGTGGCTAAAAAGCGCCACATGTCGGAGCAAGTATACTTTAAACTCAAAAGAATAAATTTCTACTATGCACGTCAAATCGAACATTGAAAGGTCATTTGTCTAATACAACTGAAATTTTTTTTTTTCTTAATAAAGTAAAAATATTTCATTGATAATCTAAACGACAAAGAAGTCCTTATACATAGATTGAAAAAAAAAGGTTTTTTTGTAACTTGTAGTAAATTAAAGGTAAAAATCACCATATATGTTGCATAAGAATGAGATTATTCTCAGTTCTTAAACGTTTGTCGCTGAACCTTTTTTTTTTTAAAGTGAAAACTCTCTAGATGATATAAAGACAAAGCTAATAACCCTTGATCTAGTCTTCAATACCAAATGTCACGTTGCTTATCTTGGAGAGAATGGGAGAAAGAGAAAATTTTCATATTTATTACCTACCTGTCATTTAATCCCCATACCTTTTGACTTCATATATTTGTTAAAAAGCAAAAAATATTAAGCTAGAACGTAAAAAAGAAAATGACATAGAATAATCTACATGATAGAATGGAGAAGACAGCTCACTAAATGATCTTTGATTGAATAGCGAGCAAAATTTTATTAATTAATTCAGCAGTATTATGATTAGTTTTCAAAAAATGAGTCTTTTGACCAGTTTTAGAAAATTGTACAGAGGTTTAGACTATGAACAGTCTCTCATTCATTATTTATTATATCGTATTTTACTTGTAAAATAATTAAAAACTTTAGATTTTTTAATTTTCTAGATTGAATTTATTGCGTTCTTCTTAAAAATTCTCTTAAATGGGAGCTAAAAGTGGTAAAAATAAAAAAGATCCAACTATATTAAGTGATGATGAGTTGAAAATATTACTGAATTGTACTGGCTATACCGATGAGGAAATTTTAGCATGGCATGCTGGCTTTTTAAAAGATTGTCCATCAGGTAAATTGGATAAAAAACAATTTTTAAATGTATATAAGGTTAGTATGTCTATTATTATCTATACATTTCTTTTGTAATAACTAGTCTCTTTTTTCAGAAATTCTATCCCAACGGAAAAGCTGATAAATATTGTAATTTTGTCTTCAAAGCATTCGATTTAGATGGCAATGGTTGGATTGATTTTACTGAATTTTTGTAAGTTTCGATTATTTTCTATAAAAGCCGAAATGAGAAAATAAAAGTGTTGTTTTACTTTTTAGAACTGCCGTTAGTTTATCACAACATGGTGAATTGCCAGATAAATTAGGAACGGCATTCCAAATCTATGGTTAGTTAGGAACGTAAGCAATGTATATTACGGACTTTTTTATATTCTTTTTTCTCATTTTAGATCAGGATAAAGATGGGCGAATAAATCGTAAAGATATGATTAAAATAATTGAGGCAATGTATGATTTAGCCAATGAGGAAGATCGAACGGGAGATAAAGCACCGGAAAACCGTGTAGAATTAATAATGAAAAGATTAGAGAGAGACGGTGAGTAAAAATAAATAATTTTTGCAGTCATTGAAGCATTGTTACCTCCTAATTTCTTATGAATATAAAACGCAGGGCTGTCGCGACTAGTCAGACTTTGGGGGGGGAGGGTTCCATTGAAACAAGAATTTTTTTTTCAGAGAACTTAAGGAAATCCTTTTTCTACTGGAAAAAATTGATTTATTTTTTATTTTTCTGGGGATGACGGCGGGGGGGGGGGGGGGCGGGGGGGGGGGGGGGCGGGGGGGGGGGGGGGGGGGCGGGGGGGGGGGGGGGGGGGGGGGGGGGGGGG